TGGATGGATGGATGGATGGATGGATGGATGGATGGATGGATGGATGGATGGATGGATGGATGGATGGATGGATGGATGGATGGATGGATGGATGGATGGATGGATGGATGGATGGATGGATGGATGGATGGATGGATGGATGGATGGATGGATGGATGGATGGATGGATGGATGGATAGAAAAGTGAGAGAAGTCAGTGAATGTTTCCTTCTACTCCAAAATCCTGATGAAGGATTGACTCGAGAGGTTTTGGTCATGAATCTAGATTATGTGATTATTACCGAGTCCCAACAGGAAGCCCGGCATCTCCAAGCGTCTTCATTATGAAGGTTGGTTGCACTTCTCTGAGATTTATTGAACAGCTCGCTTTGAGGAAAACAGCTTGAAGAGCTTTAAAGTTATTCTAGCTCTCATTCTGAATCGAAAAACTAAATCTGTATCCTGTTTCTTTTCATGGCTCTATAACATCATTGTAGCTCAGCTGAATGTATTTTCTCTAGGAAGTCCACTTTGCAAAATGCACGCCAACATCTTCAAAGTTTACATTTACTCTTAATTTCCTGGAGTCATGCTTCAATTAGTGAGACCCTCCATGGGTTCATGTATTAATGATGTCACGTCATACCAAATTAGACTTTAACAGTGAAAAGTAAACTGGGCCTGACTGCGTCTTACAGCCACGAGTCATCTCTGATTAACGTCACATTAATATGCCATGAGAAGCCTTTCACCTACAAATGCTTTTATTTTCTACACAAAAGATTTGTCTGCACAAAGAATTGTGAGTAATTTATAATAAGCATTCAAAACTGTCCAAATTTATTTATTAGTTCCATGTTTTTCCATGTCTGTGTGTTTGTTTCTCGTTAGCAAATTAGCTCAACGGATGGTCTGAATGAATGGATGGATGGATGAAACTTTTTTAGATTTCTACAACTTGTACCTTTATAAATACTGTAGAGTAATTCTGAACACATCACGGTAAATCTCACAATATCCTGAGATCATGTCAGCAATGTGGATCAGTGGTTAGTGCAGCGTTCTCGTAATCCTGAGGCTGCATGTTTGAGTTTAGGTTGGATCAGAGAGGGCATCCAGCATAAGACAATTCAATCTTTGGAGTATCGTTGCAGAAGGGAGCAGCTAAAACATTATGTATGAAGTCATGTCTTATTTTTGACCAAAAAGACTCAACATGATGATTTCTGATTATGACTGATTTCACCGATTTCTCATTTTAAGATGATTTCAGTTTCAAACTCTGTCATGAAAGACAGAGATATGAATTCCTTCAAGGAATTCCAAGTCTTTTGTTTGTTTTGATTTGAAAGTTTGCCAGTCAGAAAAAAATGTGTTTTTGAGACAAAATGCTATTGTTACTTTAATTAGAGACATAAACTGAACAGAAATATAGACTTGTTCTACGTTTGGGACGTCACCTGTGCAACAATCCTGCCGTCCAATCACATCTTGATCTACCTCACCTGTCAGGTGGATGGATTATTTCATTAACACAGATTTAAACTAATTTATGAACAATATATGAGATTTAAAAGCCTTTTGTGTTCATAGAAAAAGTCTCAGATCTTTGAGTTCAGCTTGTGAAAAATGCAAGCAAAAACAAAAGTTTATAATTTTGTTCATATTCTTGAAATTCTTGAAAATGTCGTGTAACAAAATCCTGCAGTTTTTTTTCTCCTTTCTTGAAAAAGACTGCATCTATAGGGTTGTTGGTTCTTCTTTCAGGTGTTCCCTCACCCTCTTCAACCAGCTGTAACAAAACAAATGAACCCCTGCCCAGATTAAACCTGGGTAGTTTGCCCAAGGCCAGATTATACTCCGGTGGACAAACTGTCCTACACCAAATTGTACCTGGGGGGTGTAAAATAGCCTAGGCTAGATGATACCCTTCCAGGCCAGAATCTATACACATCTATACACGTAATCTGGCCTAGGCCAATTCATACCCCTGATACCAAATGTTTTAAGATTTTTTTCAGTTTTAAGATTTAAGTCAGTCAGCTTTCTTACTAAACTTACTTGACAAATTTAAACCCCAAATAAAATGTTGAAAAATTAAGTAATTCCTGTGTTTTTGACTCAACATGACTGATATCATGTGTATGATGAGATCTGAGTGGCATGAATAGAACTAGGCCACAGTACATGCAGGGTATAATCTAGCCTAGACCCCTTTAATCTCGGGTATTGTCCAGACTGGGGCATACTATGGCCTGTTCCACCGGATCTTGACCAGTCTGGCATGGTGGTGTTTAAATGAACTTTTTTTTGGATGCCTTTCCTGACACAACCTTCAGCAGTTTCCCAGGTTTGGGTCTGGTTCTGTGACAGAGACGTTTACTGTGCTCTCTGGTGACTGGCTTCACTCAAGGTCAAAACAAAAGATTAAATCTGTCCTCCTCACAACCAACGAGCAAATGATCATAAATAAACTAAACTTTAAACACCTCAGATTGTGTTTTATTTGTTCAAATGATGACTCAGTTTAACTAGTTTACTATCTGAACTGAAACCATTGTTAGCTCTGAATATCAGAATATCTTACTGGATAATTTAAAGTATTTTAGCAACTGATACTGTGGACTAAAGTTTGTAAATGTGAAGATAACTGAATTTAGTACCTGTGTTTCCTCTCCTGCGAGATGATCGGCTGCTGCGGGCCACACTGAGTGGCGAGCCGCTCCGGTCGCTGACGGACTCTCGGTTGGACCTGCCTGCAGCTTCGCTGTCCCTCACCATGCTGCCATAACCACTGCTCACCATACTGCTCCGGTTAGAGAAATGCAGGGACGTTTTTCCCATGGCTGGAGGCAGATCTCCACTCAGAATACTGGTGGTGTCACTGGCATGCCCGTTCAGGTTATCAGGGAGGCGGGGAGCAGTCACTTGGCTGTATGGGGAGGGCAGAGAAGTCATCTGATCCAATCCTGTTGAGGTGGGGCTGGAGGACCTGTCCCTAAGAAGGTCTGAGATCCGACCATTGACAAATCCCTGAATGGCAGACTTTGTAGAGGAGCAGGTGGAGCTCTGACTTGGAGTCCGGCTGATGGAGCGATAAGATAGTGGTGGGGAAGAGGAAAAGAAGGAGGAGGTCCGCTCAAAGCTAACGGTTTTGCAGTCTGGTGAAAGACTGGCGCTACGAGTGGACAGTTGCAGACTTTTGTTAAACTGGCTGAGGTTCTTGATGCTGGAGGCAGACAGTCGACGCGCTTTGGGACTTCCCATCTTAAGTTTTCCAACAGCGGAAAGCTTTGAACGAGTGCTTTTAGAAGATTGGGGTACGGGATTTTCAAAATGGAAAAAGTGATGGTCAGAGTGGGGATTTCTTCTGGGACTGCGGTTGGCCCTTGGAAAGGTACAATCTCCCTCATAATGTTTTTTATGCCTAACTTTACAACCTGCTTCAACGCTTCCCATAGAGCTTCCCTTAGAGCTCATGGAGGTGTTGCTATTGCCTCTTTCCAGAGTTGGAAAATCACTTGGGGTCCTTCCAAGGGAATTAGTCCTACTAGCCAGCTGCTCTAATTTGGAACTGAAGAGCCTGCTACTTTTCTCAGCAGGAGACTTTAGCCTACTACTTGTACTGTCATGTTTCCCTGTTGGACTTGGGGCCTGTATCAATCCTGAGACCTTTCTGTGAGAACTGCTTGAATCATGTTTGAACTTATTCATGAGTTTTGGAGAAGAAGATGAGGTGTAAACGTTGTGGTGTGCAGTAGGCCTCCTCTCCAAAGTTCCCCTTGGGCTACATGGAATAGATGATGTCACCTCCCTCGAGTGGTTGTCTTGGTGGTTGGGATTTTGCCAGCCTTGTAGTAAATTGCCTGTTTCACAAGATGCAGGGATGATGTCTTGGCAACCAGGTGCAGCACCAGTCCTCTGGGGGATGTTTCCAACATGGCTGCAAGCAATTTTCCCCCCCTCTGAGACTCTCTGATGGTTAGAAGAACAAATATGCTCACATTGTCTAGGGTGATCTTTGTCTGTATTTTCATGTCTCTTTTCACACATGTTGTTTTCTCCAGACTTTTTGCAGTATCCTTTATCTTTCAAGACTGTAGCCTCAAAAGAAACTTGAGTACAAGAAGGGCAGTACACTTTACATGACTTCTTAACATGATTTGTCTCTGAAGTTAAAGTTTCATTTTGTTTCTCAGTATTATTCTTGCCCTCTTGATATTTGACAGTATTAATTTTAGGCTCTGGCTCTAACTTCATGTCTTTAAAGTTTTTCCGTGGAGTATCCTTTTCCTTGTCACCATTCAAACCACAGTCCGTATCTGTGTTAATCAGCATCGGATTTATAAATGAAGGGAGCAGTCCTTTGTCTCTTTTGAATTGATTTTGGCTCTTTTCGTTGTTTGCATCTGTGCCTACAGACTGACCAACAGAAGAAGCAGCAGCGGAAGAGTCGTCGCTAACATCACTGATTATCCTGATTGGTTGAGAGCAAGCAGAGCTTTGTCCATGTACTTGGGGCTGCACAGGGTCTCTGATACAAATAATGTTCCTGCTTGTGTTCCCTCTGTCATACGCTCCACTGATGGTCACCTCCTCAACCATAGAGAAGACAAGTTCATCTTGACCCATCTGATCCAGGGGTTGCTGAACAGTCACAGTGATAGTTGCCTTCATTTCCTTAACATCCTCTGTGGTGCAATTTGGTAAGACATCACCAATTCTAACGCTTTTAGCCAAGGGCTGTGAAGAGGAACAAGTGGAGGCAGTAGATATGGGGGAGCTTTTGCCAACTGGTGAAGCTCTCTTGTCAGATTTGAGCCAGTCAGCAGATTCACGACCCTCCTGTTTTTCTGAAGGCTGAAGTGCAGAGGAACTGGTGACTGTCTTTCCCTGAGAGTCCTCTGAAAAGCCCTTGGAGGGGAAATTATTACTTGACTTGATAGGTCTATTGTTGGGAAGCTCAGAACGGCAAGTCATACTCAGACCCAGAGCTTGATTCAGCAGTTCCTCGCTGGAACTGGTTGCACTGCACTCCTCACAGTCAAACAGACCAGAGTCCTCTCTCTGGATACCATCTCCAGGGTGAGCACCATCTATTTGCTTCACCCCCATGTTCAACAATGTTTGTGGTGCTTTGGATGCTTCTTTTTGATGCTCTGATTTGATAATATTATTTTTAAGAGAAGTGCCTTTTAAAGAAGATTTAAGCACATCCATGGTCACCTCACTCCCATCAATACATCCTAAACGTTCTTGAAGTTCAGCAAATGTATCGCACTTCAGACAATCTCTCTCTGGCTGTTTCCGCTCTGCTTTCAGAGCTTCAACATCTGCCTGCACAGATTCCTCTGTCTTCTTTTCTCTATGCAGCTGAGGAATTCTTAGAAGCTCTTCTAGAAGAGCTGCAAACTCTGGATCATCCATGTCAGCCTTACTGGGATGCAAAGAAGGTATGATAGGAAGAAACTTGGGTTGTGTCAGCACTGGGGCTCCTTTAGAATGGGCCGAACCATCTGAATTAATTTGGATGACGGTGTCACAGGACTGGTCACTACTGGAACGATCCATCTGACCACGTAGGCGGAAAGGACGGAAATCGACATCTACCTCTTCGGTGGAGTGGAAGGCTCGTAGGGACAACGACTGAGGCCCTCTTTTCTCTTTGGTCAGACTCCTCCCACAGGGAGAGCATGACGCAGATTGCTGTTGAAAGTAAACAAATCGTTAGAGCATGTCTTTCTCAAAAGTCCTGGACTGCAGAACCATCTGTGTTGGAAGCTATGAGCTGCAGTGAATCATGATTATTTACAGAAAACTGAGAGGCCTTGGCAGCAAGAATTACACTTTTAAAGTCAGCTTACAAATATTATTGAGCATGCTTGTGTTTTTGTATTATTTTTGCCCACTGCCATGAAAATTGAGAGATCATGTATTGTTTGTGTGTGTGTGTTTGTGTGTGTGTGTATGTATTTGTCTGTCTTCAAAATATTTCATAAACCACCAACAGGTTTTAATAAAGCTATTAGACAATATATCAACAATATATATCAACAATATATATCAACAATATATATATCGATATATATATATCAGATGTGCAGCTGATTAACTTTTGAAGTTAACTCGATTCAAGATGGCCACCAGATTAAATTACTTCAATAAATACAATGATTATTATAACAGTAAATTATACATATATTGAGCTAAAAATTGGTGTGGTCATTGCTGAAAGTTATAATTTACTAGTGGCACTGATAGATACCCAACATTTAAATGTTGACATTAAAGGTAGAAGATGGTCATTAAGTCTATCTTGTTGCACTTTTTACTGTATATTGTTCAATCATTCTGCCGCAGGAAAGGAACTGTTTAAAGTCCTTTAAAGCAAAAATAAACAATGTTCGCTCATTGTAAGTTCATTCACATTTTACTGAAGCCTTTGTGAAGTACCTTTGTTCTCTTTTGTGTTCTGCGGATGCGAGAAGCCAGCTGGATTGTAGAGAAGCTCTCGTGGAGTTGTGCCAGGGAGTCGGCGACCTGAGCGATCACAGCAACGTGGCAGTTTGGATGAGCCATGGACTCTCGAAGGAGCAACGACAATTTACTAGCCCTGTACAAATACACATGAAATGGCACATGAATCAGTCCTTCTTTATCCAAATATGAATGAGTTACATTATGAGTTATTATGAGTTATTATGAATTACAACATGAAGGTTACGGTAATTTAAGAGATCCGTTACAGGTCGATTCTCATCGTCTGAATAATGCTAGAGGTACATCCTTCTTACTTGCTGGGGACAGATTTATGACTGCTCAGGAGAGACAAGATGATGGGACCCAGCTCAGAATGGGGGGAGGCATTTTTGCTCACACCCCTCATACCACTACACACATCGATCATAGTCAACTTAGTGGTACCCCTTGAACCTAAGAAGAAAAACACAAAAATTAGATGAGAAAAATTAAAAACATTCACATATTTACAAACATATAAAAATAAAAGTATTACGGTAATTAAAAATCAACAAGCAGTAAACCAATGTCCTCTGTTGATGAGGGATTTTAACAGTGAATGTTTGGGGTGACAGCACGGTGGCGCAACTGGTAGAGATGCTGCCTCTCAGTGAGCAGGTCCCTGGTTTGAATCCCGGTCCAGGGGCCTTTCTGGGTGGAGTTTGCATGTTCGTGCATGCGTTGGTTTCCTCCAGGTACACCGGTTTCCTCCCACGGACCATAAACATGCATGTTAGACTGACTGGTGACTCTAAATTGTCCCTAGGTGTGAGTGAGAGAGTGAATGGTTGTTTTTCTCATTTGTCTCTATGTGGCCCTGTGATGGACTTGCGACCCGTCCAGGGTGTACCCCGTCCCTCGCACAGTGATTGCCAGACATGGGCACCGGCGACCGCCATGACCCAAAATGGAAGAAGCGGGTAAAAGATAATGGATGGATAGATGGATATTCAAGTGTGTAGGAATTAAACTGTGTAAAAGAACCCAGGGAGGTTTTTAGTTTTGTCCAAGGAGGCAAAGAGTGATGGATCCTGCGAGTGAAGGGAGCAAGTTTTTAGCAATTTTACCAGGCACAATGGCAGGGTTAGGTAAATGGAGGCAATGGTGGCCTTGAACACCAAAGATTATGCTTCGGTCACACCACTGGCCACCCCCAATCATTTGAAAAAACTATACTTATATATATACAAACCGGATTCCAAAAAAGTTGGGACACTAAACAAATTGTGAATAAAAATTGAATGCAATGATGTGGAGATGGCAAAGGTCATGACAGATCAAAAGTTTAATCTGAGTAAATTTTAAAGGAAAAATATGTTGATTCAAAATTTCACAGTGCCAACAAATCCCAAAAAAGTTGGGACAAGTAGCAATAAGTGGCTGGAAAAAGGAAATTGAGCATATAAAAAACAGCTGGAAGATGGATTAACACTAATTAGGTCAGTTGACAACATGATTGGGTATAAAAAGAGCTTCTCAGAGTGTCAGTGTCTCTCAGAAGCCAAGCTGGTAAGAGGCTCACCAATTCCACCATTGTTGCGCAGAAAGATAGTGCAGCAATACCAGAATGGTGTTACCCAGTGTAAAATAGCAAAGACTTTTAAGTTATCCTCATCAACCATGCATAACATCATCAAAAGATTAAAAGAATCTGGAATAATCGCTGTGCGTAAGGGTCAAGGCCGTAAAACTCTACTGGATGCTCGTGATCTCCGGGCCCTTAAACGTCACTGCACCTCAAACAGAATGTCACTGTCAAGGAAATAACAGAATGGGCTCAGGAATACTTCCAGAAAGTATTGTCAGTGAACACAATCCACCATCCGCCGTTGCCAGCTGAAACTCTACAGTGCAAAGAGGAAGCCATTTCTAAGCAAGCTCCACAAGCTCAGACGTTTGCACTGGGCCAGGGGTCATTTAAAATGGAGTGTGGCAAAAAGGAAGACTGTTCTATGGTCAGATGAGTCACGATTTGAAGTTCTTTATGGAACACTGGGACACAATGTCATCCAGACCAGAGAGGACAAGGATAGCCCAAGTTGTTATCAACGCTCCATTCAGAAGCCTGCATCACTGATGGTATGGGGTTGCATGAACGCTTGTGGCATGGGCAGCTTGCATGTCTGGAAAGACACCCTTAATGCAGAGAACTATGTTCAGGTTCTAGAACAACATATGCTCCCATCTAGACGTCATCTCATTCAGGGAAGACCCTGCATTTTTCAACACGATAATGCCAGACCACATTCTGCAGCAATCACAACATCATGGCTACGTAGGAGAAGGATCCAGGTACTGAAATGGCCAGCCTGCAGTCCAGATCTTTCACCTATAGAGAACATTTGGCGCATCATAAAGAGGAAGGTGCGACAAAGAAGGCCGAAGACGATTGAACAGTTAGAGGCCTGTATTAGACATGAATGGGAGAGCATTCCTATTTCTAAACTTGAGAAACTGGTCTCCTCTGTCCTCAGACGTCTGTTAAGTGTTGTAAGAAGAAGGGTGGAAAGATCTCTTGTGGTGGTCTGTCTTACAGCGGATTTGAAGAAGCCTCTGACTGAAGACACTTTTGTTGTATGACAGTCTGATGAAAAGGATGCTGAGGGTTGTCTATAATGTTCTTGTCATGTTTTTGCCCCTTTTTACTACCTCAGCCTGTCTAGTTTCATGTTTTTTTATCTCCTGCCAAGTGTTTTCTGTCCTGTCAATCACTCAGTTCATGTGCCTGCACCATGCCTCCTCTCCCTGCCTCTGCAATCAGCTTCATTCATCGCACCTGTGCACCTCTCTACTTAAGCTCCCTGTTCATCCTCATTCAGAATCAGAATCAGAATAAACTTTATTGGCATTGCACCGAGATACAACGCGAATATGTACGTACAGTCGTCAGAAGATGGGCGGAGTGCACAAAGCTGCAGCTATAAATAATTAGCGCGGCCCTCTTATTCTTATTCAGAATAATATTTTTGCTTAGATGAGAAAAGGAAAGAAAACATGAGGAGAGACGGTATAAAAAAAAGATCTCCCACACCGTGTCCTAGACAGGGCACAATTTGAGGCATCAAAAAAACCTACCACAGCAAAGCAACATAAACAGACGCTATACATGTATAGGCTGGTGAAAGCATTGAATTTTTAAGGGAAAGTCGTAGCATAGTCCAGAGCGCCCCCCCCCCCCCCCC